CTTAAGAGACTTCAGAGCCTCAGAGTCAGGTGAGAGGGTGCAATCAAACCCAGGGAGGAGCCTCAGAACCAGGCTGGGTGGAGTCAGCTGAACTTGAAACAATCCTGCTACTGTGGCAGGGCCTCAGCTAAACCTCGCCTCACCTTATATACCCAGCAAAGACAGGAGCAGAGGGGGAATTCACACAGCATCTGACATGGACCCTGGATCTGGGACATCAAAGGTGAGAGTCTGCCCTGAACAAAATTGTAATGTTCAGGAAGAACCTGACTTTGGGCAAGTTGCAAAGCTTCATGATGGGGACGCCTACTTCTCGGGCTTGTGGCATGGATTTGGTGAGACAATGTACGTTCTGCACTTTGCAAACTAGAACATGCCCCAGGTGCTGCCCCTGTGCCATGAGGCCCTCCGGCTGGTACCACTGTCTGAGGGGAGCACGGCTTGTGCCCCACCTAACAGATAAACTCCTACAAACCAGGGCACTGGGACCTTGGACCTGAGCCTCCCACAAGGCTCTGCCTTCTAGAAGGACTAGGAAGACATTGGGAAGCCCAAATGTGCTAGGTGGGATTCCAGGTCCAAGGAATGCAGCCATTTGACTGTGAAAGCCTTTCCGGACCTCAGGATTATACCCCAGCCCTCCAACTATGCTGGGCCTCTTTCCCCCAGTTGGAAAGGGCTGTGAAGTCTGGAACCCCACGGAGAGCAAGGCACACCTGGGCACCAGAGGCCCCAGGAAAGTGCTGGCAGGGAGTGGGGTCTCTGGGTACCATGAAGGGGATCCTTTGGCCCATGAGCTGAAACTTGTCCCTGTGAGCAATAGACACTGACACTGAGCTGCACAGAGAAAGAAATAAAAGTCCCTAGGAAGGGTTAATCCAGTGATTTTCTACCCGTGTGCCATGGCAGTGCTGTGAGAGGCTCTCAGATGTGCTGTGAAAAATTTTAAAGATCGTTAATCAAATTATTTTCGAAAGGAGTTCAGAGCACAGTACTTAAATTCTTTCTTTTACTCTTTTTTTTTTTGATCAACATAATTTAAGTGTGCCCCGGAAGTTTAACTATGGATTCAAGTGTGCCATGAGATAAAAATGATTGAAAAACACTAGTTTAATATCACCCTGAAAGGGGACCCTGGGCGCCACAGAGTCCAAGTGCACAGTTGAGCTCTGAGACCTCAGGACTTAACCATCTTCTGTGACAGGTCACACTAAGTAACTGTTAATTCACACTAATGGGACCACAGGACCAGAACAGAGCAGGCAGGCTGACAAGAGATGCTCTACGTCCTCTTACCTGGGTCAATGGTCACCTTAACTTGGACCCCTTTGTCAATTCCAGTTCTTTCGATCCCACACCAGTAAGTGTCAGCGTCATCTCTCCTGAGCGCCTCCATGGTCACATTGAATGTGTAGTCTTTCCAACTATCCCGGATGGACACACGGTCCTTCTTCACCTCTTCCTCTGTTCCAGTGGTCTCAACAAGGATCTTACAGGGGCCCCAATCAGCCCCTCGACACCACCACTTCTTGTGGGTTCTCCACTCTGGGTTATAACAACACTGCACGGTCAGTGAGCCCCCCTCTGGACCACTCACTGCTCCTGGACCGGTGATTGGATCCTCTCTAATCTCAGCATTGAGGGAACCTGGAAAACAAATCCATGTATCTATCACTTCCCATCCCAAGGGCAGGGCCACAGCCTCTTGCCCTGGGAACAGCTCCCAAATGCAAGCATCTCACGAATTAAATCATAGCCAGTGATATAATTCACCTTCCAGGTGCCAAACCTTTGTCCTTCAATGTCCCACTGGGTCAAAGACGTGAGGAAAACCCTAGAAAGCACAGCCACAGGTCCCAAAATAAACAAGATGTTGACACTGAGCAATAAAGGTGATCTATAATTCATCCCTCTCTTCCTTCTCACGGCCAATGTCATCTGCATCTTTCAAGGGATATCCATTTGCAGCCACCTTTGTGTTATACTGGTCTGGTGGGGAGGGAATACAGGAAGACCCATTTCCATGAGAAAGTAACTACTGCCTTGACACTCAATACTGTGGGTCCTCAGGAGGTCCAGCTGAAGCAGCCACATCAGATGGCTGGGGGGAGACTGTCCTGATGGTTCTATTAGTGTCTAGTGTCTCTGCTGTAGACCCAACCTAGAGGTCTCCAGGTGCTATGGGACATATATCACACAGTTCCCATTTTCTTCATTGAATGGCCTTGGCCCCTTTGTCAAATGACAAATCTGTGATTATTTATGGATTTCCCATTCTGTTCCATTGATCTGTTTGTCCATCTTTATGCCAGTCCACCCTGTCCTGATTACTATAGCAGAGGTAGTAAGGAGTATTATAAACAGTGAAGCAGCATTTTCTTAAAATATTTATTCATCTTGTTCTTTCTCTCTTGTGCTCATCTTTGAAAGATTCAGAATACAGGGAATTATTTCTTTATTGTAAGAAAAACAGCAGTTCCAGCATGATAACAAATGGCAAATAACCCAAGGCCTCAGTGTCAGAGAGACACTGGGAAACAGTGAGGACCATGACAATCCAGAGAGCAAAAGATGCGCGCAAAGGCGCAGACCTTGTTCCACTCCAGCCCATCTTCCTCATATGAGAAATGGGTTCTGCAACAAGAACACACAGTGGGGCAATAAGAGTCTCTCCAATAGATGATGTTGGGAAAACTGGATATCTCTACCTGTGGAAGAATGAAATTGGGCCCTATCTTACCTGCCATATGCAATAGTCAACTCAAGATGGATAAAAGACTTAACTGTAAAACCTGCAACTGTAAAAATACTAGAAGAAAAAAATAAGGAAAAATTTCCTTGCCATTGGTCTGAGCAAAGATTTCTTGGATATGACCCAAAAAACGTTGGCAACAAAAGCAGAAGTAGACAAATGGAATTGCATCAAACTAAAAACCTTCTGCACAGCAAAGGAAACAGTTAACAGAGTGAAGACATAACTTATGGATTTGGAAAAAAATATTTACAAACCATACATCTGACATGGAGATAAGATCCAAAATATTTAAGGAATTCAAATAACTCAATAGCAAGAAACCCAATTTAGACTAGGCACAGTGGCTCATACCTGTAATGCCAGCACGTAGGAGGATGAGGTGGGTGGATTGCCTGAGTTCATGAGTTCAAGACCAACCTGAGCAAAAGCAAGACCCTGTCTCTAAAAAAATAGCCAGATGCTGTGGTAGGCACCTGTATTTGCAGCTACCTGGAAGGCTGAGGCAAGAGAATCACTTGAACCCAAGAGTTGGAGGTTGCTGTGAGCTAAGATCCCATGGCACTCTACCAAGGGTGACCAAGTAGGACTGTCTCAAAAAATAATAATCATCATCCAATTTAAAAATTGGCAAAGGATATCACCAGACATTTCTCAAAAGAAGGGATACAAATGGGCAACAGATATATCAAAAATGCTAAATATCTCTAATCATCAAGAAATGCAATTAAAACCACAATGAGATATTACTTCATACCTGTTGGAATAGCTATTATCAAAAAGACAAATAATAAGTGTTGGCAAAAATTTGGAGAAAACAGAACCTTTGTATGCTGTTGTAGAAATGTAAATTAATACAGCTATTTTAGAAAACAACATGAAAGTTCTTCAAAAAATGAAAAATAGAATTACCATATGATGCAGCAATGCCACCTGTGGGAGCATATCTAAAGGAATTGAAATCAGTATGTTGAAGAGACCTCTGCATGTCCATGGTCATTGCACCATTATTCATAGTAGCCAAGATATAGAGGCAAAAGCAAGTTAAATATTTATCAACAAATGACTGGATAAAGCAAATGTGATGTATATGTACAATGAAATACTATATAACCTTTTAAAAGAAGGAAATTCTGTCATTCATGACAACACAGATAGAACTAGAGGGCATTATGTTAAGTGAAATAAGCCAGGCACAGAAATATATGTACCATATGAGCTTAGAATTAAGTTCATGGCTTGGCACCTGTAGCTCAAGTGGCTAAGGCGCCAGCCACATACACCTAAGGTGGCGGGTTCGAATCCAGCCCAGACCCGCCAAACAACAATGATGGCTGCAACCAAAAAATACTTGGCATTGTGGCGGGCGCCTGTGGTCCCAGCTACTTGGGAGGCTGAGGCAGGAGACTCGCTTGAGCCCAGGAGTTGGAGGTTGCTGTGAGCTGTGATGCCACAGCACTCTACCCAGGTGACAGCTTGAGGCTCTGTCTCAATTAAAAAAAAAAAAAAGAATTAAGTTCATGAAGTCATCCTAGAACAAGTTACCTCATTGCTGAATATCACTACAGTCACCTTTGAAGTACTTCCCTTGCAAAGCTATACGCCTATGCCAGTGCCTAGTCCACCCTTCAGAACATCACTGTCATCATATGAGTTCTGACAATTAAGTTTGTGAACTGGCCACTGTACAATTATGTTGGCAGCACTGTACAAACAACTTGGTAAGATTTCATAACCTTGGTATATCAGTGTCTCACAGCTGTCTTCATGTTGATGTGTGACAATGTCTTGCTGAGTGGTGTTCATTATTGTTGTTGGGTGCTTTTTGTGTGCTCTGATGGTCATTCCAGAAAAAGAGCTCCAAAATTGCTTTGAAGAGTGGACTAGGTGCTGGCATCATTGCACACCTTCCCAAGGGAGGTACAGCCTCTGAACAACCTCCAGAACTATAACGTAATAACTGGTGTCATGGAACTTCATCACGGCAGCAAGAGGAAACTAATACAGACAGCCATCCCACCTTAGCTGCTTTGTTAGCCCATCTCACCCCCTAAGCCGCCTCCCTGGCCTCTCACCTGAGCCTTGGAATTGGGCCTGACCTTTGAACCATGTGCCCCACTCACTGCTTCACCCCTCTGTCCCTGGTGCCCATGCCCCACCCAGTCCTGCCATCCAAACCCTCATGACACAGGTGGCAGCCCCAAGCACTTGGGAGCAGCTGTCTCCTCAGGCATTTACAGCCCAGACCACACAGGGTTATTCTAGAGCAAAAGGACAGTGGGGCCCAGAGAGAAGTGAGTTGCTCACAGCCGGGAGTGATAGAGCCAGGCCCTGCCCATCTCTAGCTGGGCACAGGGGGCCAGCTGGTCTCCACCTTGGGTCAGCACACTTGGGGCCTTGTCCATCCCTGCCACCATGTAAGATATGGCTTAAGTCAGACACAGCAGCTCATTTTTCTCTTAAAAAATGGATTATTAAAACTCTCTTCCTTTCTTGTAAATGTAATTCTTTGAAGTGAAGAAAGTAAACCTCTTCCTTTCTCACAGAAAGTGAACTTTCTAGTCTCTCTCTATATATATGTATGTGTGTGTGTGTCTATATATATATAAATTTTTTTTTTTTGAGACAGAGTCTCACTCTGTCTCCCTGGGGTAGAGTACTGTGGAGTCATCATAGCTCACAGCAAGAGATTCTCTTGCCTCAGCCTCCCGAGGAGTGCCCACCACAACATCTGGCTAATTTTTCTATTTTTTTAGAGATGGGGTCTCACTCTTACTCAGGCTGGTCTGGAACTCCCGAGCTCAGGCAATCCACCAGCCTCTGCCTCCCAGAATGCGAGGATTACACACGTGAGCCCCTGCTCCCAGCCCAGGTCAGTATTTTTTTTCTTGAGCATTTTAAACACTGAACTCTTTAGAAGAAGGAAGCAGTGCTGGGTACATCTGCGGCTTCTGACTGGAAGTTCTGTGAGACAGGCTGGTGGGAACAGAGGCACGAGTTTCCACGTTAGTACCCAGAGCTGCGCCTCACACCAACCACACACCCCAGTACGACTCTCACATCTGCTCCCCACCAAGTTCCTCCGTTCCCTGAGTCAGGAAGAAACAGCCTTGCCTGTACTTTCCTCGCCTGGCCAGGCATCTTCTACCATGTCACCCCCAGTCTGCCTCCTCCATTTCTACGCTGGAACTCACCCAGGACCGAGTGTCCAAAACCACTCCAGTCTGCTTTCACTAACCTTGTGGTCCTGGGCAGGTCACCGTCCTCCCTTGTGACCTATTTCCCAAAGAGATGATAATTACGCCTGTGACCTGCCTCAACAGGCAACTCCGAAGCATGTGACAAGCCACACTGACCTCTCTGTTCCTCAAACACACTGGCCAAGCTCGTTTCCAAAGCCCTCACACTCACCGTCCCTGTGCCTGGAAAGCTGGTCCTGCCCGAGTGCCTGCTCCTTCCCCCCCTTCTTCTCCAGGTCTTAACTCAGAGAGACATCAGAGACCCTTCTCAGGGGCGTCCTTCAGCCACCCAACCCAGAGCACTTCCCCCGCCTGAGTCCCACTGTGTCGTGTCATCTTGTTCTGTTTTCCTCACAAATTATCTTGTTCATGTCTATAACTGATAGATGGAAGGATCAAATCAGACCACACAAGAGAGTCACAAACCACTGAGGGCTGTCCAGTTGCCACGAATGCCCTTCTCGGGAGCCTCTGATCCAGGCATTGGCCACATGCTTCCCAGACACTTCCCCAGGGAGAATTCTAATGCTCTCCTTCTTCTCTCAGCTCTCCGATATTTTAATTGCCAACTATAATTCACCTTTTATATAATTCACTCTTTTAAAGTGTACCACTCAGTGGGGTTTTTTTTTAGTATATTCACAAAAGTGTATGACCATCACCACATCTAATTCCAGAATATTTTCATCACTCCCCCCCCAAAAAAACTCACACTCTTTAACAGTCACACACACACACACCCTGACTCCCCACTCCTCTACCCCTCGAAGCCACTAATCTACTCTCCGTCTCTATAGAGTTGCTTCTTCTAGACAGTTCATGTGAATGGAATCGTACAATGTGCGGCCTTTGTGTCTCTCACTCAGCGTGATGCTTCCAAGGCCCATCCAGGCCCTCCTCTATATCAGCATTTCATTCCTCTCATGGCTGAGTAATATTCTGTTGTACGGATACGCCACATGACATTTACCCATTCATCAATTGATGGACATGTGAGTTGTTTCCACATTTTAGATATTATGAATAACGTTGTTATGAACACTTAATGTACAAGTTTGTACAAGGACGTGTGTTTTCAATTCTCCTGGGTACCTCCGAGTGGACTTGCTGAATCATGGTGTAATTGTATTTTTAACGTTTTGAGGAACTGCCAAATTGTTTCACAAAGCGGCTGCACCACCGTGCATTCCCATCAGCAATGGATGCCCTCTCCAATTGACTTTCAGAGTTTTAATTGTTCGGTTCTATGAAAGTAGAAAGAGAAAGTTTGCAGAAGAAGCGTTACAGCAGTTAGATTATTCTCTCTGTGTTGGATACATTCACTTATTCAACCAGCACTTATAAAGTATCTAATGAGTACCTGGTATGGTTGTAGGCACAAAAACCCCTGCCGTCTTGAAGCCTACAGTCTATCAAAATGGGGGAAGGGAAGAGATAGACAATGAGGAAAATAATGCAAGAGAATTGTGATTTTAATTAGGGACACCAGTGAAAACCTCGGTAAGTAGCAAAGACGTGGAGGATGCGAGACTGTGGCTATCTGGGGTGGAACGTTCTGGGCAGAAAGAACAGTAAATGCAAAGGCCCTGAGGCCAGAGTGCACCTGGCTCATTCAAAGAACATCTAAGAGACCACTGTGGCCAGAGTGTGTTGAGCCAGGGGAGAGGGTTAGAAGAAGATACTGATACAGGGTTTCCTCTTTTAGAGCTGGACAGGGATCCCCATTTTCTAGGCCTCAGCAAAAGACCTTTTTTTTCTCTCCAAACTTCACTCTCTGGAATCCATCAGGATAGGGTAAAAGCAGTCTGACCAGTAATTCATATGGGTGGGCTCCTCCTGAAGTGAAAAGCATACACCCCACTGCTTTTCCTGAGACAAGCTTGGAGGGACCACATTCACCTGTTAATACGTTCATTTTCATTTGCTAATCAACATAGCAAGGATGTTTTCTATCTGCCAACTCCTGGCCAAGTATGATTTTTACCCCCAAGACCTCCCTGCTTGCCGGCGGTGTATGAACCCTTCGACTAAAGACCCCCCCAGGTTTCCCAGCTCCCCTACCAAAGGCTTTGCTACCCTTCTCTCTATGTCCTTCTCTATAAAATAAACTCTGTCCTGCCACTTACTCTCAGGGTCTGGGGTTTCATTCTTGAATCTCCAAGACCAAGGACCCATTGCAGAAAAAATACTGAGAACAATACCAGGGAGGGAACATGGCAGGGGGAGCCGGACTCAGACCACCTTGTAGCCTCTGTATGGAGTTTGCATTTTCACTCTGAGTAGCATGAGAGATCCCTGAAGGGCTTTGACCAGAGGAGAGACATGATCTGGCTCACGTCTTCAAAGGATCATCAGAAGGTAGGACGGAAAGGATAGATGTCCCCAGGTTTTGCCCGAGCACCAAGAAAGATGGAGTTGCCAAACACAAAGATGGGGAAGACTAGGGGAGTAGGGGATCTGATGGGGGAGATGTGGTAGGGTCACACTTGAAGTGTCAACATCTGAGTGGAGATATTGAACAGGCAACTGGATGTATGTTTCAGGAGTCCTGGGAGACATTCAGGTTGCAGATACTAAACTGGAGGTCATCTCCTCAGAAGTGGCATTTCAAGCCAAGAAGGCAAATAAGGTCAACAAGGGAGGACCTCTAGGTAGAGAAGAAGCCTTGGCTGAGTCCTGGGGTCTCCAATGTCTAACAGTCAAGAAAATCCTCTTTGTTTTTAATCAAAATGGTATCTACCAATTTAAGTTTTCTCCAGCCCTCAGATGTAGGTCTCTGCCCCCATCTCAGTCCTCCACAGCTTTTATTATTCTTTCCTGCCCCAAATGCCTAGAATCTTCTCCATCCCTAGCTGGCAAACCCCCTCTTTCTGTCCTTCAGGGCCCCTCTACCCTCATGTCCACCCCAAAAGCTTCCTGCACTCATCACTCATTCACAAAGGTAACAGTCCAGTCCAGGGGTGTCCACCTGCTCTCCTGAGCAGCCTGGGGTCCTCTGCTTTTTCCCTGACCAGGAGAACGGGGAGCCCATCATTCTATTCATTCGATATCATCAGCCCTGGGGTTGTCCAGGAATCATGCATTGCGCTGGGTTCATCATGTCTCCAAATTCCCGCCCTGGCAACCGTAGATGCTGAGACTTGGGCTGGGGTGTGTGCTCATGGATGAAACACACAAGGCTCATGTCACTAAAGTCACCTCCTTGCCAAGCCCTGTCCTCCTACTGGCTAAGCTTTCCCTGCTAGGACAGCGCAAGCCCACTCACCTGAGAGCCAGAGGAAGAGGAGAAGGGTCGGCAGGTGCATTTTCTCCTCGCGCTGGAGCCCTTGGCAGAGCCTGTCGGCCAGAGCCAGCGACAGCCCCGCTCTTTCACCTCCCAGCCTTCTGCTTCCGCTCACTCTCGCCTGGGCCCTTCCTCCTTCAGCCACTTCCCACTGTGAACAAGACTAAAAGAGGAAGGAGATGGAATGAGTGAAATTTCAGGGCAGTTCGCAATGTAAGACATTGCAATGAGCATGAACAACTTTTGAGAAATACTTCTCTGTCCAGAGCTAGCACAGGTTCTCTAAAAAGAGAGCTTTGGGCTCCTTCTCTGTCTTCTGGAAATCTGCAGACACAGCCCACTGGGTCTAGCCAGCCCTTATCCAGTACTTCCCTGGTGGGCAGATTGGGGGCAGGAGGACCCAATTTGACAGAGGGAGAGGCAAGGCTGATGGACAGAGTGCCCTAAACCTGGGGCTTGGAGTGTAGTCAGATTTGGGGGAGCCCAGAAATCCAGACTCCAGAAGGCCAGGAGTCCAATGGGACTGAGGGAGGCTTGGGGCCAAAATCAGAAAGTCGACTGGAACAAAGCGGTGAGGAGGCTGAAGGTGCCATCAAAGCCAGACTATGAAGAGAGGGTCTCAAAGAGTAGGAGATGCTGGCAGGGAACTAGCGACCCAGCGCAAAGAGAACTTTGTCCTGAAGATACCAGAAACTCTCATACTGCCATGCCCCCACCCAGCAGGTGAGAGCCCTGGATACCTACACCAGCCTGAAACTTCCAGAAATATACCAACTACACCAGAAACTTCTCCCAGAAGAACCAGCTCATTTCTTGTGAATATAACACCCCCCTGCCCCATCCCCACTTGATAATCGCTACTTATTGAAGCAAGAAAGAAAGAAAAAAAGAGAGGAAGCCCTCCTTTGCCTGCCTGGCTCCCTTCTTTCTGGCAGCTGTGCCCACCCTTCTCTCTCCTCCCCCGCCCCAGACCCAGAGAGCCCTTAGGGTAGAACCTGGCCTTATGGAAGGGGGGTATCTTCCTCATATTCTGCACCTGCACCCACTCTTGCCATGTGTCACACTCTGTGAGTGAGTCCCAGGAGGAACACAACCCCTCACACCCTAATCAGGAATGAGTAGGGGGGCAGGGAGGGTGTTTGCACAGAAAAACCCAGCAGCTGACAAGCCCTGGCTTTTCCAGGATGTGGCCAGAAGTGGCCTCTCACTTTACATATCTGCAGCCATAAGGTAAGGTCAACAATCCAAGGAGGGCTCTGCTGCTGGCCACAGGTGCTCTGCCAGGGCACTGTGCAGGGACACCAAGAGACATCAGCCCTGTGCAGCCAGAGGCTTCCAGGGAGAATGGCCAGGAATTAAGAGCAGTGGGGAAGCCGTGATAATCACACAAGGGCAGGTGCATTGGGGGTCCAGGGGTAACATTTTCTGTCTTGGGCACAGGCAGCAAGCAGTGAAGAGAAATGTTTACTAGGAGCCTTGCCTATGGCCTCACCTCTGATCCCAGCCCCTCCCACTCATGGCCTCCCCAAGAAGGACCCACCTCTGAATCAAGAGCAGAGATTTAGGCCAGGTTGTGGCTCATGCCTGTAGTCTAGCACTCTGGAAAGCCAAGGTAGGAGGATGGCTTGAGCTCAGGAGTTTGAGACCAGCCTGAGCAAAAGCGAGACTCTGTGTCTACTAAAAATAGAAAAATTAGCAGGGCGTCATGGTGCCCGCATGTAGTCCCAGCTCCTCAGGAGGCTGAGGCAGGAGGATCACTTGAGCCCAGAAGTTGGAGGTTGCAGTGAGATTCATGATGCTACTGCACTCCAGCCTGGGAGACAGAGTAAGACTCTATCTCAAAAAAAAAAAAAATAAAACCTAGAATTATGTGCCTATAGGGATACAAGATTAGGAGAGTCAGCTGTTCTGGTAGCCCAGTGTCCTCAAAAACCCACTCAACACCCTAATCCCGGCTTGGCCATTGACTTACACATGAGTCATTTATCTGTGAAAGAAGGGATTAGACAGATCATCTAAGTGAGATTCTCCCTGCCCTAAAGCACCCATGTGTATACGGATGTGTGTGTGCATGTGTGTGAGGCTTGTGTATGTGTATGCATACATACATATACATGCAAAAGTTTACCAGGGGAAGCTGTGTGTTAGCGTGTTTGTAG